GGTTTCTTCCTGATTAGCAGGGAGTTTTTCCTCTCCACCGTTGGCTCAGGATGGGAGACTGTGATGAAGTGATTCAACACAATCTGCTGGCTTCTTCTTTAGATTGTTCTTTTTTATGTACAGTGCCCTGAGACAACGTATGTTGTGACTTGGCGTTATATAAATAAACTGAATTGGATTGAATCTTTCTATTGGTTTGTCAAAAATGTTAATTTCAAGGGGGGAAAATAATTTATCTTTTCCTTCGATGCCTTAAAGATTGGTCATTTTTGAAGTGATGCTCTAGTTTTCAATAGGTAGAATCATATTTGTCGATACATCAATCATGGCACAAGGAGTATAGAAAAGAGCTTTAGTCTTCATCCAGGCTAGGCTAGGTTAGGCTAGGCTAATGGCTAGCCATATTTGTATAAAACATGTCTCACTAGGGTAAAAGAACACTATATTAACCGTAGTTAATATTAAAAAGTACATATAGAGGACATGTCTTCAAACTTGTTCCTTGTTACCCACTTTCCTGCCAGTTTTTGCCATTTCCCTGCTTCAACACACCTGATGAAATAATTTAATCAGAATGTCATCAAGTGTAGCAACARCCTGTCAATCACTCATTTGTTTCTGTCAGGTGTGTTGAAGCAGGGAAACATCTAAAACACAGAACAGGTGGGTCACGAGGAGCAGGGTTGAAGACCACTGGTATAAAGTATATATATAGACCATAAATATAGGTCAGTGTGACCATCATCATCACCACTCTACATCACTGAAGCTGAGACTGCTGACTGGATCAGTCCGCCTGTGTTTTTCCAGTTCAATAGTTCAATGTTGTCAGATATACAATAATTATATTTCTATGCATCAAATAAATCAACTTGTTTGTATTCRTTTGAACAGCCACAAATCATCAGTCAGATCGTGTGCTCACCAGCCGCATAACCACCCCTCATCTCCTGTGTGCGTGTCTCTGAATAACACCACAAACCTTATCTTCCAACCTGTTTGTTTGTTAGCAGAATATCCCATGAACCACGGGACAGGTTTGAATTATCTGCACTTGGCTCCATGATTCAGTCTTGGCGCACTGACCATCTCAAATTCTCCCTGATGGTACGCAAACAAGACGCTCCTCATCCWAACTCCTGTCAACACCTGTGGCTTCGGCTAGGTTCAGAAGGTAGAATGTTACCTAGGCCGTAGTGCATGGGCTGCCATTACATTGCACACATGTACACACACACACACACACACATCAAAAAGACCACACATCCCTGCACTACACAGTCTCTGCCATCAAATGTGTTTCTGTTTGTGTTCCCCGCTCTTGCACAGTTCTTCCTCTCTGTAATCTGTATGTTTGTTTGTTGCAWCTTAGTGCTGAAATGTGATTGCCTTCTGGGACTTATAAAGCAAATGTTAGTATATTACACAGCCATTACTTTTATGCAGTTTGTTATCTTAGTATATTATAGATTACTTAGTTACACTTAAACTAGTTAGACAGTCATTCAACTATTAGTACTGTGAAACTACGAACCCAGAGGTTAATACACAGAAAGTATGTTATGAGGTTTTTGATTATACTACATATTATGTTGCTTTAGATTATAAAGCCTATATATCTTATTATTCTGCTTTTTCACCTATTTTGATTTATACTACCTATTTTTGTTGTGATGTACTGTCTTTTTTTGTATTATTTCTTAAATCATGTAAAGCATTTTGTATCGCCTTGCTGCTTAAATGTGCTATATGAATAAGTTTGACCTTACCTTTGGATAAACTTTGAAGTCAACACCATTTAAGATAGACACAAAATCATAGCAAACAATAAAGGTTAGAACTAGAAAAACATTAGGCTTAATTTTGGTGTGGTAGTAGCAGTGTCATTCACAACAAGTACAGTCAGCTCTACCTACCTACATACATATTGTAGGAGATTGTGTAACATTAAGGTTTTATTAAAATGGTTATGTTATTTAAATTGAGAAAATGATTTTATTTTGGCATGTAATTCAGCAAGCAATATGTATTTCTTTAAGGAATGTTGGGTCCATAACAATCAAATAGATTTTACTATAATAGGTAGCTTTATACTTAAATGACAAGTTCATTTCTACAAAATAACAGGGGAATGTAATTTTGTTTTCATCACTTGATGAAGTCCTGGAATTTTTTGTTATTTAAGTTGTTGCAAACATGAGTGAAGCTATATATTCAAATTTAGTATTAAATGTCTACAAGACAACTTCAAAAAAAAGTCAAATCCTCAGGGTTTTCAGACGATTCTGTCCTAAAACGACCTGACAGATTTAAATCTTGTCAAAGATGGCGGAAAGACTAAAAATATGTTTGTTTTGTTTGATAGTAAAACTTGAAAACCGGATATGCTGCCTGACAATATGACCTGCTTCACTTTGGTTCTGCAGCAACACGACAGACCCAACACCGGAACCGTTATCACGACCGCACAAACGAAACCACTCTTTTACTGAATTTTAAGTTGACCCTTGAACGACGCTCGCGCTGTAAACCTCGACCGAGAGGCAGCAGGTGTTTCGGCACGCGGCCTTTKAAAGTCGCGATATTTCCAGAGATTAAACGGGGGGAGTCCGGAGCAGCTTCGGTCCGGCCCGGAGAGAGAGAGCGGGGGGAGGTGTCGACCCGTCCTGCGGAGTCACTGTGGCGGCTCCGAGAAACAACCTAGCTCCGCTGTTTCTTACCCGACATGGTGGTCCGGAGCTGGCCCACCCGAGGCTCGAGGGTCGGGACCGGGCACAGGAACGGCTTGCACTGCGAAGGGCAAAGGCGCAGCAGCTGAGAGCAGTCAAACACAGGAATTAAGCCCCACATTTTCCGGATCACGTGACCACTGACAGTCGACACGCCCCCTGCGGGCTTTTTATTGTTTTCTCCATACACACACACATATATATGTGTGTGTGTATATATTCATATA